ATAAAACAGCTATGAGTTGTAGACATATTAGAAGCAATATAATTTATTAATTCACAAATATTTCAAACACTCCTGTGTTCTTCCTCAGTGTGAGGACAACTGACAAAAAATAAAATACAAAGTAAAGCAATGTTTACACACGAAACGAAAACAGAACATCGAATCAGCGGTAAAGAACATGGCAACCTATTGAAATTTTTAATTTAGCCAAACAGCTCAATATCATTCCCCCTGGTAGACCGATCGTTTCCTGCATAGGTACCCTCACTGAAAATCTGTCTGGCCTTGTTGATTCCATTATCAACCCCTACTCCCTAATATCTCTAGCTACATCTAAGACACTACGCACTTTCTTAGAATCCTTGATAATATAACTAATATACCTAACCAATCTATCCTAGTCACTATGGACGTCACTTCGCTCTATACTAACATCCCTCATGAAGAAGGTATTCAAGCACTTAATAATTTCCTTTCTAAACAATGTGTGCCAGCCGAACATATTAATGATATCATTGCCATTACTAAATTCATTCTTACGCATAACCATTTCACTTTTAACAACAGTCATTATCTTCAAATTAAGGGGACCGCTATGGGCACGAAAATGGCTCCTAGCTATGCTAATGTTTTTATGCACGAGATTGAGACGGCTATTATTTCATCCTTTCTCCTTAAACCCCTTCACTACGCTCGCTATATTGATGATATTGTTTTCATTTGGCCCCACGGTGAAGATACCCTCAATGCTTTCAAATCACATGCTAACAACTTCCATTCTAACATTAAATTTACTTTTGAAACATCGCCTTCCAAAATTCCATTTTTAGACGTTCTTGTAGGCATCTCTACTAACAACATAATCACTTCCTCTTTATACACTAAACCTACTGATAACCATGAATTTCTGAACTTTCACAGCTCCCACCCTTTAAGCCTTAAAAAATCTATTGTCTATAGTCAGTGTCTACGAATTAAACGAATTTGCTCATCTTCGGATGATTATGACAAACAAATTGGCATACTTACAAGCCATTTTCTTAATAATGATTATCCCCTTAACTAATACTATCAGCTATTTCTAAAGCCTCAACCCGTCCCCGACAATCCCTTCTAGATTATAAACCCAAAGATGTTACTAATAACCGCATTCCTCTCGTCTTCGACTACCATCCCAATATAAGTTCTCTTACCTGCCAACTTTAAAATTGACTATAAAATTCTCAATAAAGATAAATCTATTTGCCACCTTTTTGAAGGCCCTCCCCTACTAGCCAAAAGACAACCCCCTAATTTGAAATCTATTCTCTTATCCTCTAAACTCCATAAGAATTCCCACTCTTCTGGTAACGTTAAATGTAGTAAACCCAGATGTCAAGTTTGCAATTTCATGTGCACCTCTGACACATTCATTATTCCTAGTACTAATATTACTGTTAGACCCTCTCCACTTACTTGTCATTCTTCTAACGTTATTTACATTTTATTTTGTAACAAATGTCAAATTGGTAATTACATTGGAGAGACTGGTACTAAATTCCGCCTCCGATTCATTAATCACAAAAAAACCATCAGAGACAACTCTACTGGTTTCCCAGTAGCCTGTCACTTCAATCTACCTAACCATAGCATTAATGACATTAGATTTATTTTGGTCGCTAATAACTTTTTATCCCTCTCACATAGACGTAAAGAAGAATTGAAGTGGATTCTTAGAACCAATTCTTATATTAACAGTTTAAACAAAGACTTTAAGATTACTTATCAGACTATTCATTTATATATACTTAATTTTTTTTTGGTTCCTAGGCCTTTATCCAGCTTTTATCTACTTTGTTTATTCCATATTAAGTAGAACGTTTAGGATGCGCATCTTATTACGCGCCTTTGTTCTTTACCGCTGATTCGATGTTCTGTTTTCGTTTCGTGTGTAAAT